GCTCCACTCTCTGTGCTCCCCCCTGGCCTGGGCTCCCCACCAACAGCGCTTCATGCCTCTTCAGTTCTCCTATTTATGAACCTGCAGCTCACTTGTCCTTTAAATGCTCTTCCATTCCCCGCCTCGCCTCCCCCTTCCAAACCCCAGCTCTCTGCCCCAGGCCCACCCCTATGGAGCAGCAGGAGGCAAAAGCAAGCACACACCCTGGCATGAAAGATGGCTTTGCTGAGCACTGTCCTCTGCCTGGCACAGGCTGGGCAAGGGGGTGGGCCGAGCAAGGGCTGATGTTTAATGCGTGAAGGTGCTGGGTTGCTCAGGTGGTCACTCAGCTACTCGCTAGCACTCCAGTCCCTTGTCCACCTCACTGCCCTCTCTGACCTTGGCCATCTCAGATCTGATGGTGCTGACTTCAGGGTTCAAGCAGAGTAGGGGTGAAACAGATCTGCCCTGTACGTCAGTCAGGACTCCCAAGTCCTGTCTGGTCATGGCTCTGCCCCAGATTAACTGTGTGACCATCATCAGGTCCCTTCCTCTTGTCTATTAAAGGCAAGGGTGTGCACCCAGTCAGCTTTACCATGAAGAGAGTATTTAACATATTTTTGAGCCTCCCCTCTCCAGTGAGTTGAAAGACTTGTACATCCAACAAATTGAGGCCTTTTTTGAGGAACTTCCCCCACATGTTTATAAATAATGTTGAAATCTGCAGGGACCCTCATGGGTAGGACCCCAGACCTGATGGGGGGGACACTGGAAAGTATATCTTAAGATCTTGGTCTTACGAGCCGTTGGTAACCAAGGAAGGCGAGTCAGAAATTAGGCAGGATGGAGGGATCTCCCAGGGCTGAGGCACCCCAAGGTCCAGCTATCCCAGCATGACAGTGGAGCCCCCCTCCCTGTACTATATTTAATCTGCTTTTGTCTATCACCCTAGTCAGGCTCCCCCTTCCCTTACACAGGGGGGGACCTCCAGGCCCCTCACACTGCTGGAAAGATATTTCCTATTATAGAAGCCCACCTCTCCTCTTTAGGTGGTATATAGAAGTCCCACCTGTTAACGCTGCCAGGCCCCGGCCATTCTCACAATCACTTCTTTCCAAATCACTAGTGCCCCCAGCCTCAGTTTTAGCTGCTGGGGCCCCAACACAGCTTGTGTTCTTAGGACATGATGCTCCTGGGCTGCTCCACCCAGGACCTGCATATTTTTGCATCTGCTGATCTTAAAAGATGCCCAAGAAGTTGCCTTGTTCCCGCTCCAGCCCCTGGGTTCTCAGCTGGGGTGGGGAGCCCTGCTCAGATATCTGGTGGGGACAGCCAGGGAGGGACTCTTGGCTCTCTGGGTACAGGCCACCCTCTCTCCTCACTTACCCTCCCAGAGAAGCAGACGCCACAGGGTCCATACAGCCATCCTTCTCAAGAGAGGCAGCCACACTCTCTCCGAAATTCAGAACATCCCAGAGCAAGGGGATGCTTAGAAGGAACTGTGGTCCCTCTGGAAAGCCCCACATTAGGAAGGCGGAATCTTGACTCAAAACAAAATGCCCTGAAAGTGAAAACATCCAAGGCAAAGTGGAAGTTGGCTGCAGGCCTGGCTGGGCTTTCAGGCTCTGATTCTTGTAAATCAGCTTCTTTCGCATGCTCATGGTTGGCCAATATGACCACAGGCAACCACACGTGCCCACATCCTCTACACATCCCACCCTGCCCGCCTGCACAGTCCCTGTAATCAGAGCATCCAGGAACTGCGCTCTGGAGTCACTTCTCCGCTACCGTCTGCAGGGGCTCAGTGGCCCTGAGGATTAAGCTCACAGACTCTCAGGAGCAGCTCCAGCCTGCTGTTCCCAGCTGCTCTGCCACCCCACCCTGGGGTCTTCACACACATCAAGCCAGACGCCCCTTCACACTTCCATATACCTGCCCTCTGCAGCCATGCGGCCCCACTCATCCCCCGCCCCCCAATGACCCGGCCTGTTGTAGCTAAAGCTTCCCCTCAGCCCTCCCAGCCCTGCTGGGCCTGCCCCTTTTCCATCGTTCTCTGAGTCTCTGTGCTGGAAGTTTCTCATCCACAGACCATCACCAGCGAGGTCTTGTGCCATATCTGTGACTCAGCCCTCTGAAAGGATGTGTAGGAAGCGAGTGGTACATTCCAGACACGGTCATGAGCTTTGCTCAGGTGGGTGGTGGAAGCCCTAAATTCTTCACTGGGAGGACCTTGCTGTCCCCCTCTCTGGGACCAGGGAATCTGAAGACAGAGTGGATGAGGGCCTTGCTGGGGTCTCAGGGTGGTGGCTGGGCTGGGACTGGAGCCTGGACCTTTGGCGTGTGGTATGTGTCCTAGTCTCCTCATCCTGTCTCTTAGTGTTACTTGGTTCCTATGAGTGAGGGAAGTTTGGGAGAGAAGACAAGAAAGTCTCCAAATGTGACTTGAAGTGTCTAATCCCACAGAGCATCTCACTAGTCAGAGGGGACACCCTGGACCAGGCCAGCAGGAAGCAGAGATGCTGGCGATGAGCAGGGTCTGGGGTGGGTCCCTGCTCCCAGCATCCTGACCAAGCTGTGGAATGAGACACACCTGTGAAGCAAAGGCCCCTAGAGGCAGGGCCGCTGTGTGTGGTGGGCATGAAGGCCGTCCCTGCTGCAGGAGGGCCTGGGGAAGGGTCCCTGGGAGTGTGGTCTGGGGGTCTCCCACAGCTTCTTCAGGGGTGGAACTTGGGCTTAAGATGGACATGATTTAGATAGGAAAAGGCCCCTGAGCAGGGGGAGAGCTGAGGATGTTGGCCCTTGGGTCTGGGGTAGTCCCAGTTCTGGGACAATGAAGGATCACCAGGGGCAGGCCTCTTAAGAGGCTAAGAGCAGACAGGGAAGTTGTGGAGGATGTTCAGGTTACAGATGACTTCAATACAGCAGAAGTATTGGGTCTCTGGAGACCAGGGACCTCAACTTTGCTGACCGCTGGAGGGAACGTCCCAGAAGCTCTGTGCCCACTTGGAGCCAGGATGACTCATCAAGGGTGAGTAACATACAGGGCAGGTAGAGAGAGAAAGAGACACAATTTCGTGGTGGGTCTGACTGAAGGGCGAAGGGGCTCTCCAGAATGGAGAGAAGCTGAAGGGGAGCCCTGTGGCATGTGGAAGCACTTGGCTGGCTTCTGGGAGAGGCCCAAGGAGAGGAGGACCTTTGATGATTCCCCTGTCGATTCCACCACTCACGCCTCAGACTTTTATTGAGCATCTATTTGTGTGCCAGGTGCTGGGGACACAGACATGAAAGGCAGAGCCCCACTTAGCTGAGCAGGCGGATGTGACCCAATCATTGCAATCAGTGTGGCAAGAGCTTCAGGAGCCAGAGGGCAGACGCAGGTCTAGCCTGGGCAGTGGAGGCTGGAGGGCTCCCTGGAGGGGGTGGCACAGGCTCAGGATAGCAAGGGGCAGGAGTCAGCTTCTGCTCTCCTCAGGCTTCTTGTGTCTGTGAATCCTGGAGCCAAGGGCCTTCTCCAAGTTGGGGTCGTGGTCTGCACTGTGGGGCTCATAGCAGACTCCACCTACAGGTGGCCTGGGAGGGTGATGGGATGGACACAGGTGTGGGCTTACAGCAGGGCTATAAACAGTAGTCCTGAAAAGCTGGCCATTGCCACTAAGAGGCCTCCGAGGCAAAAATGGACACGGGAGGTGTGTGCAAAGGCCGAGCCATGCAGCCACTGCTGTCTTCTCCCAGACTGGAGCTTGTGGGTGTGGGTTTAGGCTCCCTTCATTTCTGCCCACCAGTACATCACAATGAGAGGCTCCCACAAAGCTGCACCCTCCAAGCTCATGGAAGTGGATCAATGGGTTGGAGTTTTCAGACCCAGACCTGGGATCATGCAGGGCGGGGGTGGGGTGGGGTGGTGGGTGTGGGGGGTGTTTGTTGATGGAGGGGGCTTAGAAGAAATGTCCATCCTAGCAGGAAATGCACCTCAATCTCTAAACCCATCCCCCAACCTTTTTCCTTAAACAGGATTTCAGTTAAACTGAGGGAGGGGTGTGGAGGGGTTTCAGCTAGGACTAGAACAGGCCCCACCTCCCTCCCTAGAAGGGAAAACCACATCTGGAGAAAGGACTGATGCAGGCCCAGGAGGGGTTAAGTCTGAGGGGCAGGTCCCCCCTGCTAATCACTGGCTCAGACCACACTAATTACCCAGCCGCAGGGGGGTGTGTGCTGAGTAAATTAGCTGCGGAGTTCAAAGGGGCCACTCCCTGCATTCCTTAATTAAGAGAGCAGCTGGCAGCCTGGCTGAGGCTCAGTCTCCCTGGGCCTCTCTGGAAGCTGGGCCAGTCCTCCCTGGTCCAGGCAGGCATAGCAGCTCCATCTGCCCAGCAAGGCCTAAGCTTCATGGCCAGCCCACCTTCCCTGCAGGCCGGGTGGAAGCAGGTGTTGACCATGCCAAGCTCTCGCCTGCACTGGAGCACTGACCCCAGAGAGCGGGGTGCAGGGGTTGGGGCCAGGTGGTCTGGCTGTTCTACTCTGGCCCTGCGTACTCACACTTGTCCTCACTCTTGGGTCTGGTCCAAGGGCATGGGGGAGGGGGCTATACTTCTCCCGGGGGAGAGGTGAAGAAGGAAAGGGAAGGGGGCGATTGGAAGAGAAGGGTGGGCAGGACAGGCTGCAGTGTGGCAGACAGGAAGGAGGCCATCCAGCAGGCTGTGGGACTCAAGGGGGAGGGGTGTGGGTGAGGAGTACTGGGGTAAAGGGAGCCTGCTCTGCTCCAAGGGGTGGTGTGGGACTGAGGGGGTGGGCAGAGCTCCCTGACTCCCGGCTCGTGTCTATTGTCACCCATCGCATCCACAGACACTGGACTGTCTGTGGACACAGAGCCAGAAGCACTGGCAGGCCCCAAAGGGGGACCCTGGACACTTCTTGCGCCAGCTCTGAATCAGGCCCGAATACTTGCTTCACCTAGGCAATGCCACATAGTTGGCTGCTAGGATTAAAAGTCATTCCTTATTTTGCCAGGGAAAATCTCATATTCTGAGGCTGATTTTCTTCTTCTATTTTATTCCTCATACCCCCTCTCTCAAAGGAGTTGTGCTCACATGTGCTTCTCTGCCTGCCTGGTACGCTTGGATTCTGGGCCAACTGACCCCGAGCCCAAGACACTCCATGGCTGGCCCTTCCCCAATGCCCTTTTGAGGAGGGAGCAGAAATCTCAGGCTGATTCAAACCTATTTTATACACCAGAATGGAATCTCGAAGCAGCGAGCTGTAAAACAAGTCCCCTGTTTTTGAGCACCTATTACATACCAGACAACCTTCCAGGCTTCGAGAACTCAGGTTCTGCCCCTGGTGGTTTACAGTTGTCCTGCAAAGTAGGCACGGTCTCCACTCCACAGATTGGGCTAGAGAGGTCCCAGAGCTCACCTGCTCACAGTGAGCAGTCAGGGTTGAGCTCAACTCTGACCATCTCAGAGACATAATCTCGTCGTGGTACCACATCACCTCTCTATGTCTGAGGACCGGACTTCCCTGTCCCTGCCGTCCTGACTGGTGGTGTGCCTGGAGCTCAGCGTCTTCATGACCCCTTCTGACAGCTGGGCCTGCACTGCCTTAACTTACTCTGGAAAGAAACAATGTTGTACTGTTCTCTTTCCTTTGCTTTTCCACAGTGTCTGAAAAGGACCAAAGAACCCTTAATTAGGACAGAGTGGTGGTAGTAATGAGGGCAGTGATGGTGGTGGTGATGACGGTGGTGATGAAGGTGGTGGTGATGGTAATGGAGATAACGGTGGTGGTGACAGTAACAGCGATGATGATGGTAGTGGTGGTGGTTGTGACAGTAATGGTGATGACAGTGGTGGTGATGGTGATGGTGATGGTGATGGTGGTGGTGATGGTGATTTTGATGATCATAGTGGTGGTGGTTATGATAGTGATGGTGACAGTGATGGTGATGACGGTCATGGTGGTGGTGGTGATGGCAATGATGATGAAGGTGGTGGTAATGGATATGGTCTCCATAGTGCTAGCTTGGTTGGGATCATCTCTACTCTTTGGGCTGTATGTACCACAGAGTGGATAATACCTTGATTGTTTTCATTCTGGTAATGAACCCCGCATGCTCCCTGCCCAGAAGGGCAATGGGGAAGGGCCAGCCATGGAGTGTCTTGGGCTCGGGGTCAGAAGGAATGAGGCTTATACAGGGCCCACTTGACTGTCCATCTGAGACATGAGTGTCCTATAGACACTTATGGGGGGACACGGATCAGGTCTGTGTTGTAGTGATACTGGCAGGTGGGGGAGAGGGAGTGGTCAGGGATTTCCAACTTACTTGGCCCCTGCAGCAGATTCTAGCAGCTTCCTCAGCCCTGATACTATCTAAATTAGAGGTTGGCAAATACTTTCTGTAAAAATATAGTAAGTACCTTAGATTTTGCA